CATTACAATCATGGGCCCTGAACCCTCAAAAGTGAGACGGGAACAACCAAAAACACGACAAGGTGGTTTTCAAGCCTCAAGCCCTCAACAAGTCGCAGTACCCGAAGTACCAGGTGCTGTTTCTACTGGCCGTGGCCAAAGAACTCACGAGCTGTTGCAAGACGGTGGCCTTCTTCCTGGGAGTGTCCGGGGCCCACGGCACCTGCCTTTAGGGTTCATACAACGGGCACTGTGAGGGGGTTAGGTCCTCAAGTGGTTTAGGGCAGTTTGGGGTTTCAGAGGTTTGGTGGTTCAGAGGTTCGGGGGTTTGGGGTTTTGGGGTTTATTCTATGGGGTTTAGAGGTTTAGGGGCTTGGGCTTTCAGGTTGCGGCACTGAAGACCTTACCAGCTCCACCCCAAAACTTCTTAGCCGCAAGCCCCAGACTACAAAACCCCGCAGCCTTGAAGCCCTAAAGTCCCAAACCCTAAACCCTAAACCTTAAATCCTAAAATCCCAAACCTCAAACCCAACCTGTTGCTTCTCGGAATCGGCCTTCTTTCGTTTCGGTTTTGGCGGCACCTGAGCCATTAACTTCAAGGTGGCTTGGGCGCGACTGTTGAGAACTTCAGGGACTCGGGCGCCTGAGCCCTAAACAGCACCCCTACACCCTTACAGAAGCCTCTAAAGTATCCCTTATAATCCTACACCCCAAAGCCCTATAACACCCATACCGAATCCTGTGTAGTAGCCCGGACGATTCCATCGGATTGTTGAATCCTGTATAGTACCCTCCAAACCCTAAACCCTAAACCCATATAAACCCTGAACCCTCAACCCTAAACCCTAAACCCATCTAAACCCTACACCCTAAGCCCTGTAAAGCCCTGAATCGAAGATGTCAGGTCCCGCTTCGTCTTGGAGAGCACCGTGGTGCCCTGGGGCAACTCCTTGGGCGACATCGTGACTGGCATCGCGGGGTTCTGAGCGCTCCTCGGGATTTTTTCTGTGGTTCTCTCCAATCGGTCCTGTGCTACGGTTGATGATATACATCCTGCATTACCCATCACAAAGAATATACCATAATTTCCAACCGCAGTATACCCCGCCAATGCCCAAGATGGAGGTTGTAGAGCTCCAAGTCAGCAGCCTCTAAGGTTGATTTCGGGGCGTAGTGTTTTTGTTTGTAGGGTTATCATAGTAGCGGCCTAAGCCGCCGGAACGAAACCTTGAACCGCTAAGCTCTGCAAGTTGAACACGTAACACTACGTCCCCAGACGCTAAGCCGCTGCTCACTCGTTGTGTCTGAGTTGTGGCCTTGCGCGACTTTCTTGGGCTGTGAATAACGGTTCTAAACAGAGTTCTTTGAGCATTCTCTCTGCTACTTCCACAAATGCTGTAGCATGCTTCAGTGCTGAACATTGCCTTGATGGTTCTCGTCGTCCTTCAATGGGGGATGTATAATTCCTTTGAACATGTTCCTTTTGGGTTCTGCAAGGCGGGTCTGTAAGGGTCCAACATAAGAGTTCTATACGGGAGCGAAAGGGGTTGAATCCAGCTATAGAAGGTCTAGAGTCTAGAAGGGTTCTATGAACTCGTGACAACTTGACTTCAGTTGTCCCCGGATCTAAAGGTGCATACGTCACGTGTGTATACATATACAGGCACAGCGCGCGCCGGAACCAAGGTTCAGGAGTGAAATTTTGGTGTTGAAAGCATTAGAGGGTTTAGTGGACGTTTACCCGGACGCTCGTTCTGAGCCTTTCCGAAACCGGCCCGAGATGCTTGAACCCTGAAAGCCTGCCAAAGCCCCTGAGCCCGACTGCTAGTACTAAAGCCGTAAAGCCTAAAATGGTTTAGGGTTTTGGTTTTAGAGAAAGCCGTACAGCCTAAGATTCCTCTCCTCAAGCCTTCAACTACAGCAAGACCCCTCGAATCCCTCGAACTCCAAACTGCAGAACAAAAGCAGGCGATGGTCCGACAGGCGCGATTTCCTTGAGAGGTTTGCGTAGATTTGAGGGTTGAAGGACATCTTGGGATTTGGAGCTTAGGGTTGTGCTCGCTGAAAGTTTCTTCTTCGGGGTTCGCGTGTTGAGGGGTGTGGGGTTCAGGGTTTGCCAGGGCTTCACGGGGTATACACCTTTCAACACCTTTAGTCCCACTCTCCTGACTCTACACCCCAGACACTCCAAAATCCGCTGGCATTAAGTCCTCAACCTTCGACGGGGAGCTCGTCCAAAGGAGGGTGCTAATGGATGTGTTTGAGTCCGACTTTGATACCACCAAGATCCTAGAAATAGTGCTTCGTGCTCTTGCACATGCACAGAGGGGAATCGAGCATACACGCCCCCTCCTACCAGCCCGCAACTACTGGACTCCGGCACAGCTCCACCGCCTCTGCCCTCCAAACCTTTTTGTCAGACCCGAGGCGAACTCCGAAATCCGAAGCTCTCCCGAAACACGTCCCGAGGCCTTCAAACGCTTAAAACTTAAGACGAAGAGCTGAAGGGAAGCTTCACGACGCCGGCAGGCCCAATCCCAGGCAGCGGCAACGGCACTTTTTGCTGGGCCACTGTTCCTCGGCATTCTGGATGCTAATGGGAGCAGGACTATTAACAGCGACTTCGACGAGCTACTGCCACTGTGCCACTGCCACTGTGCCACTGCCACTGTGCCACTGCTGCGAATACGACCCGTCCTACTACTAAGATCATTGCCGACGAGGAGGCATCTTCGGATTGGGAGGTGCGCAAGCATGATGATGTCGTCCAGGTGTGCCAGCATAGTTGCGAATCAGCATCCCGCTCACCACCAAGGTTCAACCTCTTGGTGGGTGCAGGCGGGCCGGTCGAGCAGTTCCAGATTCAGAGTGCAAAGCAGGATAAGCTCATGCGGTGTTGCTGGGGCTTCTGCCTGAACTAGATATTATGTCGATGACCACTGCACCCTGCGTGTTGCATCCGCTTGCGACACCTGCCCGCATCACTTCTGGCAGCATTTGTCGGAAGACTCAAGTGCCGAGGGGTGTCCATGCTCCTCGTCACCATGCAAAGGCGCATCCAGCTCGCACCCTGAAGCTTCAACATTCCGAAGATTGTATTGCGGCTTTGAGACACGAGATCGTGTATCAGGTCTATCGGTGCTAAGATGCTGTAGATCCCGGATCTGAAAGTTGCCGATTGTGTTTCCTGTGGTTGCTATGCGGCTCCTTGTTGTCGTGGGCAGTCTTGTAGTGAAGATTGTCTTTGCTGTCATGGTGTACCATTGTCAGCAAGACTGCCTTTTCGTGAGGGGAGGACCGGTCATTATTGCCGACGAGAGCTATCCCTCACTGATGATGCAGGCAGGGGCCCGCGCGTTCTGAGCGCCCAGTTCAACCAGTAAGGGGAGCAGCCTGCCGACACTTAAGACAGAGCAACTGAAAACTCCAAGCCGGAAAGCCTGAACCGCAACTTAACAGCCCGAAGTCCTAAACCCCACAAACTCCAAGCCCCGAGCGCAGACCTGAGACCTGATAGCATCTACACCTAGTGTTGCATTTAGCCAAAACCTAGACCTTAAACCCTAAATCCCACTCTAAACCCTGAACTCAAGCCCCACCAACGAACCCTAACCCTGAACTCTAAAAAGCCCTCCAGGTGTCCCCATCCCTCAGCCAGTATGATTTTCCACTAGCCAACTGCCAAAGGAAAACAGGGTTCCACAAAAAATACCCTAAGCCCTTTAAGCCCTAAAACGAGCTTTAAACCCTGAACCCAAGTCCCACCAACAGACCCTAAACCCTAAACCCTAAACCCTAAACTCTAAGCCCTAAACCCTAAACTCTAAGCCCTAAACCCTAAACTCTAAGCCCTAAGCCCTGGGCGCAGGTCGGCTGCATTGCCGTAGCCGCCTCAGCCCTGGTGCTGTCCTTTGCTTTCGAGAAGCAGGCGACGGAGGGTTTCCGAAAACAGGGGGACCCTAATGGAGTACCTTAAAGGGTAGGATCCTTATTATAGAGACCCTAGTAGAGTACCTTAAAGGGTAGGATCCTTATTATAGGGACGCTAATGTATTACCAAAAGTGGTAGGATCCTTATTGCAGGGACCCAAATGTAGTACCAAAAATGGTAGGATCCTTATTATAGGGACCCTAATGTAGTACCTCAAATGGTAGGATCCTTATTATAAGCACCCCAAAATGAGGTACCCCGAGTTTTCGGAAACTCCCATCTCAGGAAGCAGGCGGACGAAGGGATCCTTGGGTTCATTCTTAGAGCCCTACACCCCAAAGCCTAAGTCCTAAACCCACAAACCTACAACCATGGCTAAACCCTAAACCCCTAAACCCTAAACCGTAAGGGTTCAGTGTTCAGGGTTTGGGGTTCAGGGATAAGGCTTTGGGCGGTCTTCAGCAGCCTTTTGGGAGGCTTTTTGGGGTTTTTGGGCTGTGTTCTTTAAGATTTAAGGTTTAGGGTCTAGGGGTCTAGGGTTTGGGGTTTAGGGTTCAAGCTTTAAGGTTTGGGATTTGGGTGTAAGTTTATGAGTTAGGATCTAGTGTTGCAGCGTAGGTGTCTTCAGAACGCAGGGTCTGCGTAGAGGCCACCGTTAAAAGCTTCAAGAATCCAGCAGTATCCCGGAGAGTTCTCCTTCTGCAGCTTTCGGTTTCTTCATGGTTCTTGGTTCTTATAAAAACCCTCTATGCTTTCGGTTTCTTCATGGTTTAGGGTTTAGGAGTTTGAGGTTCCGTCCCAAAGCTTAAAGCCTAGGCCCCTGGGCCCGACAACCTGGTCTTCAAAGCCTAAAATCCCAAAGCATCTGTTCAAGCTTGAAGCCCTAAGACGAAGCATCCCTGAAGACCGCTTTAGTTCGAGCCCCTACTTGGAGGGTGGGTGGGGAACTTGGTAAGCAGTTCTTAGAGAGACCTATAAGATCTTATAAGTACCATAACCCCAACTAGGATCCCTCCCGCCTTGGAGTTGGGCACCAATTAGCCAACCATTAGAAAAGCCCCAAACCCACCCTTCAGACTTCGAGATGCCTCGGGCAGGGTGGTGCTATTTGGCCCGTGGCCATGTGGTCCATCTACCTGGTCTTTATCATTGGCGTGGCCTGCCCCAATCTGGCCAGTGAAGCCGTAGAGTTTCGAGGTTGCGGCTCTGTTCCGGGCACACGACACCACAAGGGCAGATTGAGATTTGAGGAGGGGTTGTCATCTCTGCGTCTCTGTTGTCCGAAGTCAGGGCATGACGTGGAGTCAGGTTGACAATCGTTGTTGATCTTTCCTTGCCGTGAGGGTGTGGTACCTGAAGCTCCGTCAGTCAAGTTGCTCGGGAAGAGAAAGTGTGCTGTCGCGTCAGAGCGGTTTACGACTTAGATATTCTGAGAAAATGTTCGCGAGTCGCCCCTCTGGGCCATTTCCAGCAACGGCGAAGACCTCAACAGTCCCTTCGGTTTCGGATTGCGAGCCGAAGCTAGATCCCGAAAGCCCCAAACCTTCATGTAGAGCCCTAAACTAGAGAACCCTACAAGCCTCTCCTCCTCTGCCAACCTTTGAGGTCGTTATGGCGGAAGTCGACCTCCGTCTTGCTGGCCACACGTTGGGGCCCTCTGTCCGGTTGGGGTGTAGTTTAGTTCTTTTGGGGCCGGCCTCTGTCGTAGCAGTGGGGCGGATGTCTTCGAACATGCAGTCGTAGTCGTGGTGCGCCTTAGGGTCCGCGGGGTTCATATGAGGGGCCTCAGTGTAGCCGCCAAACGAGCCATGGGAGACACGCCCCAGGTGAGTGTCTTCGCCAAAGCAGTGATGCAGCGGCTCCTCCCCCCGGGCCCCGCGTTACGAAGTGAGGGCGGGAGTCCCAGGCCGAGAGGCACCAAACTCCCGAAACCCTGGAGCCAGGGCTGCCGACCTCACATCATATCCCCACAAAAGTGGGCCCTTGGCGACTTGAAAGCACCTTTCGCCACCGGACCGGCGCCGCGGAAAAATCGAAGGGAGCGCTTCTTCTGGCGCAGGAAGCCGGTTTCGGGTTTAGGGTTTATTGAGGCACATCCGAAACCTTTGAGACCTAAGCCCAGTGCCCGAAGCCTCCTATCCGGGGCTCTAGGAATTCTTCGGCTGGGAGCACAGGGCCGGGATACTATAGGGGCCGACTCATAACTACCTATATGATTTTGGGGTTTGGGGTTTAGGGTTTAGGGCTTATAGTTATAGTATAATGTGCACCAAAACACTATTCTAACTATTAAGGCCATACTAGGGTTTTCGGATCGAGCCGTAGTGAGACGGCATTGCCGAGGAACCCCAGTGCTTGAAACAAGCACGTAGCTGTAGGTAGGACGGGCAAGTCGCCGTCCTGGCATCGTAACCTGCGACGACGCAGACACATCGCGAGGCGCCGTTTGCACAAACGGCGACAGGCGGCCCTCTTTCCGAGGGCTCAGGACCTACGGCGGCTCATTACCCATCATTCCAGGCCCCTCTACCGGGAAGCTGCCAGTATGGGTCGCAACACCGGCGGCAAGTGGAAGCCCGAGGCTTGGAAGCAGCCTCAGGCAGGTTCGGACCATGCCAAATGGGGATATTGGCCTGGATCCTGGCAAGCAGCATCTGGATGGCAGCAGCATGGGAGGCCGGACCCCAAGGAGGATCGATACGACGCCACACCTGCCACCGACGACAAGAGTTCGATGCAGCCTTGGCAGGACTTGCCTCTGATGTATGGGGCCGAGTCAGCAGGCACCCAGCGCTTGCAGGCGGTCCAAAAGGCGGTTACGACCGCTCGGAAAGCGGACGTGAGGCTCAGAAAGATCGGCGAGGAGTGCGAGCTCAAGAAGAAGCAGTGGCAACTTTACAAGAGGGGCCAGCTGGAGAAGTTCGCCAAGCAAAAACGCCTCTTCGAGCAGGACATGGCACGTTTGGAGCAGGAACGTGTTCAGACTGTCGAGAATGGCCACGCGGCCGCTGCAGAGGTCAAACGGTTGGTGCTGGGGGGCGAGTTCAAGGAGCCGCAGCATGCACCAAGCAAAGAGGCCGAGGCGGAATGGAACTCGATGATCAATGGTGTCGAGGAGTCGCAATCGGGCTTTCTTCGGGATGCCCTCTCCATGGTGGCAGGGACTGCCGCCGGAGGCCGCACTGGTGCCGTGCCAGCACAATCCGAGAGACGAGGTGCGGCGAGCAGCAGTATGGAAGGGGACATGCTGGCCGCCGGGTTTGGGTTTGGAGACTTTGGACTGCGAGATGTTGGGCCTGCAATTTCGCCAACTTTCGGAGTGGATGCTTCCCCTGCTTCTACCGGCTACTGGCAAGGGGCAAATGCCCTCGCGGATCCCTATCAATCGTCACCAGCTGCGACGCGAGCAGCTGTGGATGCAGCTCGGGGCTCCACACCGACTCGAGCGCCTGGACACGGTGCACCGGGAACAGGGACGACCCCAAGAGCACCTGTCAAGACGCTTACCCGCCCAGAGGCACCGGATGTGAAGGGACCCTCCTTGCAGGAGAAGCTGGAGGAAAGACGACAACAGGAGCGCAGGGCCTTACAACCTTTCGGCCTGCCGCCCAATGTGCCACCCACAGCTCAGCCTCCCGGGCTAGGACAGAGCGAACCCGTTTCTACGGCCGAGCTGGTTGGGGAGGCCATGCGTGCAGCCGGGCTCACCACGGCCGCTTTCATCGACGACGACCTAGAGATGGATGCTTTGGCGGAACAAGGGCAGCCACCCACGGTTGGCACCGGCACTTGAGGTTTCGGGAAAGCGGAGGTTTGTGGCTGATTCATGAGCGCCTCCTTGACGGGACTTCCTTCGTACTGCCTCACATGGGCCCGAGGTTAGTATGGAGGTCGTGCCTTGATGGCGGTATGCTCTGGTCAGCCACATTCCAAGAGCGCTTGACTTATGAGCGCGTAGGGCGTCCTTTTGAGGCTTGTGTACAGGGTGTACATAGCTCTGATGCCACTATGCAGCCAGTCACCTTTTCCCGTTCTGCCTTGTATACGTATGAGGAGGTCGGAGAATGCCAAGGCGCCTGGACTTTTGGCTGCCCTTTCTCCGGTTTCATATCTCGTCGGTGTGGTCGTCTGCGGTGTGTTTTGGTGCCTGTTTGCTGCGTCCTGCTTGGGGCCTTGCTTGCAGGAGTTTTCGAACAGGCTTGGCTATATGGCAAGGTGTCTTGCAGTGGGTTCTTGCTTGGACTTACCTTGTCTGGGTTGCTGGTGTTGGCTGGGCTGCCGGCCTCTGCCTTGACAGTTTTGCAGGTTTGTCCGACACTCTGGCTGCTCTCCGGGCTCTCCTTGCATCGCAACTCGGTGGGCACACAGGTCTTCCAGCGGTGACTGGATACTCGGCTCTTGCCAGCCTTGGTTTCCTTTCGTTGTGGTGGGGGTTCGTTGAACCTCTTGGGGGGCACACCAGACATCCGGCCCATTCCCACGCCTCGCCTTTTACCTGTTGGCTTGCACACCAGGCTTCCTCCTGTGGTTGCCTTCTGATGTTATGGATGTTGATTTCGATCTGCTATTGGGGAATGCAGGGTTGCAGGAAGCGACCAATTCGCAGGGAAGTGCAGAATTCCTTGGTCGTCGTTCCAGCCTTGTGCATTGCTTGTGTGGGTTCGATCACACATCCGACCGGGACCGCATTGCACCCTATACAGCGACACCCCAGCAGGGCAGGGCGGAAGGGATTTCGCACCTCCGCCCGAAACCAGGCGCGGCGCTTTTCTTTCTGGTACCAACTCCTTCTCTGCTTGCTTGAGGACTTGGGACGCTTTGGGGATCTCGGTGTCTTCTCCTCTTGTTGCTCGGGGGCTGCTCTGTCCCTCCTCACGGCCGTGCCGGGGACTGCCGCTATGCACACCGGTGGCGACTTGGAGCCGGATGCTCTTCTGCCCACCTACGAGGATGCGGCTGCAGCTGCAGGTTTTGTGGTTGAGGGGAGCTCTTTGCCAGCACTGCTCCCGACAGCTGATGCTTCCCCGCAAGCGGTCAGACATGTTGATGCACTGGTTTGGCCGACCCGATACAGTGCTTCGGGGCATAATGATGCCGTCGTCCCGCCGCCATTTCTAAGATTACCCTTGCCTGACGGGGTCGAGGACAGTGAGGCCATTTCGGATTGGTTGGGGGTTATCGTCATGGCCCCACACTATCAAACCACGCATTGGGCTTTGCGTTTTGATAGAGGGTTAGGAATTGATGCCCTCCTCTCCGCCGTGCTTGATCTGGGAGCTGCGCTATGCAATGGCACGGCTGATTCGGTTGTTGCACTCAAGCCACAACGGCACCGAGGGTATGCAATGGTCTTGGCGTTTCCCAGCGTGGTTTCGCAACTTGGGCCTCATGGGCACGTGGCGTGCGTGCTTGACTTATCGCATGTTGGTGGGGCTTATTTTGCTACTGTGCTGCCAGCCCTCATCAGCTACGATGATATTGAGAGCTTCGTACTGCCTCTCATTAGCGCTGCCGTGGATCAATTCCGTTTCTTCCTTCCCGGGCGGGATGACCCGTGGCCGTACGAGCAGGACTTGCAGTTGGAGCACGGTTTTGTGATCACGGTCCTTGAGGAGAGTCGGCGCCCACTCCCCCTCCTGGAGATTGCTTCTCTCTTGGAAGGGTCGACTGTTTGGGGCAGACTCCGGCATGTTCCTCGGGACGTGCAGACGCCTGGGAGCTTCTATCCGACATGCTGTTGGCAATCTGTTGGACCTTCCAGTCGAACATTTGACCATGAATGCTTGTCGTATGAGTGATTTGGATGTGCAGGGCAGTGCTTGTTGCGAGGTCCTCCAAGTTGTCCGTTTGCCCTCTCCTGATGAACAGAATACGGAGGCTTGGCAACGGCGTGACATTTTTGTCCTGTGCGACATGCGTGCCCTTGGTTTGCGCCCCGTGACGTATTTTACTCATTCCCTCACCGTCCACGTTCCTAGTGTCATGGCATACGCTAGAGTTCGGATTCCGTTCGGATATGAGATTTTCGTCGAAGGGGGTCGCTTGGTCTGGCCTGAGGTTCACGTCCATGGCAGCACGACCATACGTCTTCGTGCTAGGGTTCTCATTCCTTCTGGGTCTTTAGGAGGTCCCTCCGACGGAGATGATGACGATTCTGACCATGATGAGCAGGATTCTTCCGATTCTGACGCAGCTGACCCCCAGGCTGATGCGCCCGATCTTCCAGGTGGCGGTACCACTGAGGTGGTTGAGTCTGTCGGCGACACTTCAGTCCCTACTCCGGTGTTTTCTAGAGAACCTCCCGCGACCTTGGCCGTGCCAGACCCTGTGTTGGTGCAGGCTTCCTTTTTCATCTTCGTGCCTGATTACCTGCCGGAGGTGATCTCTCTTCCTGTTAACATGCCTGCGACCTTGGCCGAGGTCCTCTTTATGATACAGGAAATTCGGTTCGATGTTCCGGCGGGTCGTTTTCCACAGCTGATCCCGACTCGACCTCAGCTAAGCGATGCCTTTGGTTGCCTTCTGGCAATTCCTGCTTGGCCAGAGGATCGTGCAGTGGTCATGTTTGATTTGAGGCTTTTCAATGGGGCACTCTTCGCATCTTGCGCCTCGCGTGCTATGAGACGCGAGGACCTTTTGGTTTTGGCCGGTCTCGGTTCTGGGGCGTGTGTGCATGTCTTTGTGCCCTCTCAGCCGTGGGCCCTCGGTCCGAGACAGCTGGTCTATTTAAGCCATGGAGATGTGATCTCTTTTGTTAGCTACGGCACTCCTTTTGTACCTGGTGCCGATATCGAGGAGATGCTTCATGACCCCGATAGTTGGGAGGATGACGCTGTCATTCCCGAGCTTGACGCGGGTTTTTGCTTCCTCTCTGATTTCGATACCTTCCGTCTTCCGGTCCCTCCTGCCGGAAATGTGGGATTGCGTCAGCTGGTTGGAGAGAGTCTCCAATGCGCGCCACATGCACTCACCCTGCGGGCGACTAGGCCTCGTATACAGGACCACTGCTACCTTGGGTGGCCTAGCTGTGCGGTTTTGGTTGCCGCAGAGCAGGTTGTGAGGCCCACTCGTGTGGGACACCAGCATATCCTCGTGCTTGATATGCGGCCTATTTTGCGGGGTCTCGACTGGAGACTGCTCGAGCATGATCGTGTCTCTGTTCGGTCTCTTTTGGATGCCTTCGAGCCGCTTTGCCCCAGTGGTTTTTCGGTCACTGTTTCGGGTGGTCGTGAGGAAGAAGTGGCGGGCGAGCTGGTCATCGTGTCTGAGGACGGCCAGGCTCTGTCAGTTGACTTTGAAGCTATCCTCGCCCCCGGCCAGGATGAGGAATTGGCTTTGTCACACCAAGGCAGTGATCACGAGTCCTCCCCAGGTGACACTGACAGGCACTTTCGCGATGCTGATGCTGAGATCGAGATCTCAAGTGGATCGGATGCTCGAAGTCGATCACCCAGAGGAGAGGCTACTGATTTGCAGGGGTCCGACAGGTGGCGCGCACAGGCTGAGGTTGCACAAGATGGAGGTTGTACCATAGGTGCCGCGCATCTCTTGCTTTTGCTCTTGGTGTTCCCGGACTGTGGCGTTTCATGTGCCAGTTTTGGCATGCATGCAGTCCGCTCTGCCTTTGCTCGCTTCCCGCCCTCTGTGTTGACGGGGTTCTTTGTGCAGATGGCTTTCGCTATCCAGGTCCGCGCTTGCCTGGGTACCCTGCTGTCCGTTGTCGGGTCCCCCGTTGGCCTTGTCCTCATTGGACTTGCACTATGCCAAGGATGCGTGGCAATGCAAATTCCTGAGATCCGTATTGCCTCGGATCCTCACACAATTTCTGCAGTGGGTCGAGTCGAAATGTGGAGCCCGAGTTTTCATCCGCCTGCGCATACTAGTGCGCCCTCGGGTTTCACCCCTTTCCTCCCCACAGATTCGGTTTCTTGCCTGGCTCCTGCTTTGGCTTCCACTAGGCCTTTCAGGTGCGGCAGGCCGCTCCCAACTCCTTGTCGTGCGACCTCGGCTCTGGAGACTCATCCTGTTCCGGGTCTGGCAGAATACTGTGTTGACGGACCAACGCTTCTTGAGTGCAGTCTGCAAGAGCCAGGAAACGAGGCCTTTTTGCTGTCCTGTACGTTGTTAGAGGTTTTGGTTGAGCACGGGCAGGTCGCAGATCACCCCGCCGCAGCTCGAAGCCATCGACATGTTCTTACACTCGATGAGCTGCTCCCCGCGGGGCCTGCGACAGAGTACATTCCTTCGAGTAAGGGAGATAACACTGTTGGGCCAGAGGTCTTCGATCTAGATGTTGGGCAGTGTCAACTACCGTGCTCTGTGCAGGATTTGCACGCTTTGCTGGGGCGAACTTTTCCTTCGGAGCTTCCTGCACCACCCGCATCGGTCCCTGACCCATTTCGGTTTAGTCGTTGGGTTTCCCAGGGTCAACTAGGGCGATCCCCCTCACCGGACGAGTGGGTCGTGCTATCCACTGACGGTTCTTTCTTTCCGATTTCAGGGAAAGCTGGGTGGGCTATAGTGGTTAGCCTCTCGTCTCGCGGAGACAATACACCAGGATGCTTCATTGGATGTTTATACGGTTCCCTCCTTCCGTTCGAGCAGGCCATAGGTGCCGAGTGGGGGCAAGCCACTCCATACCTAGCTGAGTTGGCTGGGCTATTCTGGTGTGCCCTCTTGGCGCTGCGCATGCCTTTCGCTTCGGGGTTTGTTTGCCGTGCGGATAACCAGGCCGCCCTCTTTGGAGCAGAAGGGCGTATTGGCATGCGGAAACACCCTCTTGCGGAGGCGGTCGCCTGTCTGCACATGGCGCTCCGTATCCTGCGGGATGACGCTGTGCGCTATTATCATGTCTTGGGCCATTCTGGGGATCCAGCCAACGAACTGGCGGATGGCCTTGCCTCCCTGGGAGCCATGGGTCCGCCTTGCAGCCTCGAGGTCCCCTTCGACTTCGCTAAATGGTTTCGTCCCGGATCCTCTAGCTTTCGTTGGCTACCCCACCTATGTCTGGCGCAGGTCAGCCCTACGGTCTTTCCTTCAGTGCAGCATGACGTGCTCTCTTGGAGTTTGGAGGAACCGGAGTCTGTGCTTCCTGGCCATGCTCTCATGGCGCCCTTTACCCGGGCCTTCCCATCGTCGGAGGTCTCCGACGGCAAGTGCGCCCCTTTTGAGTTTGCGTGCGTCTCCTTCAACGTGCTCTCGTTGTTGGAAAAGGACGATTGTGCTGTTGGAGCTGCCGCTGGCCTTTATGGCTCGGCCGGGCGCGTAGCCCTCCTGGCAACTACGCTACGCGACCACAAAGTGTTTCTAGCGGGGCTACAGGAAACTCGCACGCCTAAGGGCACGTGCACCAATGACTTATATGTCAGGTACTGTTCCGGCTGCGATTGCAACCGCTCTTTTGGGGTTGAAATATGGGTTGGGCGTGGGTCTTGTTGGCCGCGGCATCAAGCTGTGGTGCTACATGCCGACCCGTGCCGCATGATTCTCAAGTTGAGCTTTTTAGGTCAGGTCCTGTACTTTCTGGCAGGGCATGCGCCCCATCGCATGCATGATGCCAGGACTAGAGAAGCTTGGTGGACGGAGACTTGCCAGTTGTGCCGACAATACGGTCCGCACGCACGGTGGTTAGCCAGTCTGGATGCAAACTGTCGAGTCGGTGATGTTGAAACTGAGCACATTGGTGGTTGGCAGGCGGACCAGCAGGACCTGGGTGGGGACGGTCTGCACGCTTTACTTCGACAACACGATATGTGGCTGCCTTGCTCATTCCAGGAAACGATGTCAGGACCTGGCGGCACTCTGTATCAAAAGGTTTCTCGCGAGTTGCAGCGAGGGGACTTTATTTGTCTGCCTATGGATTGGCGGCGCTGCAAAGTCTCAGCGAGAGTTGAAGCAGCTATCTCCGCCGGACATGCAGTCTTGGATCACCTTGCGGTCCTTGCACGAGTTGCATGGATTCCCCCTCTCAGCCTCGTATTGATGCGGCTGCCTTGTTGCAGCCGGATAACCGCGAAACCATTTGCGGAGCCCCCAGGGCCCCTTGGACGGAAAATGTAAATGATCATGCCTCCAAGTTGGTCGACTACTTGTTTAAGGAGTTATCCGGGGCTTTTCCGTTGCAGGCCCGACGCCTGAAGGCTGCCTTCCTTTCTGCGGATGCGGCTGAGATTCACCAGGCTGTGTCTGTTCTGCGCCATGACTTACGTAATCGTCTGACCGGGTTACGCCTAGCACGCCTGCGCTGTGCTTGGATTGCTTGGCGTGGTGGACCTGCCTTCGAAACCTTGTTCTCCGGGCCATGGTTGGGTCAGCTTCGTCTCTCTATTGGCCTTTTCACTATGCGCATCGGTGTTCTTGGCCGCGTATTGCGCAGAAGGTGTCGGTTGGACAAGCGGCTATATCTCGAGGCGCTCGCTGACGAGGTTGATGGTTCTGCTGGGGCCCAGGCCCAGTGCGCTTTGAAGCGCCTACTTAGGCCCAAAAGTATAGGCGTACGGGACCTGCACCCCTCCCTCAGCTTAGGAAGGCAGACGGCACTATGTGTCAATCTGAATCTGAAGTCATTGAGCAGTGGCGGCAACATTTTGCAAACATGGAAGGCGGCCGGGTGGTGCAGCCAGACACGCTCGCCACCTCCTGCTTGGCACGTCAGCGTTCAATACCTCCCGCAGAGTCCCTGCAAGTTGACGACATGCCTGATCTCCTTCAGGTGCTTGAGGCCTTTCGGCAGGTCAATCCGCACAAGGCTGCCGGACAAGACTGCATTCCACCCGCGCTCTGCAAGCAGTGCCCGGGACAGCTTGCGGTGCTCTTCTGGCCTATTGTGTTGAAGGCGATGATACATTCGTCAGAACCGGTGGGGCTAAAAGGAGGAGTTTTATTCCACATCGATAAACCCGGTGTGCCGGATAAGCTTTCCCTCCAGTCCCAGCGGGGGATACTGGCACAGTCTATTTTCGAGAAGATACTGCATAAAACCCTCCGAAGGCTCGTGGTCGGCGAGGTTGAGCTGCATGCAAGTCCCCTTTTGTTGGGGGGACGTAAGGGCTCGTCGTATGTTTTCGGGGCTTTCTGCAGCCGGAATTTCTTGGAGCATACTAGGTCCAAGCGAAAGCCCGCGTGTATCCTTTTCCTTGACCTGATTTCGGCTTATTACTCTGTGGTCAGAGAGTCAGAGAAGCTGTGGTCGGCGGGGGACTGGGAGATGCACCCCTGGAAGAGGTTGTTCGTACCTTGGGGCTCCGAGATGAGGATATGCAAATTTTGTGCTCGTACGTGCAGGATGAGCCAGCCTTGCAATCCGTGCAGGGTCATAGCCTTTTACAGGTTATGTCTCGTGAATTCCATGCTCACACCTGGTTCGCTCTTGCCGGCGACCCTTGCTTGGTGCAGACGAGTAGGGGCACGCGGCCAGGAGGATGCCTGGCCGATGCCATGTTCTCGATCCTGTTCCTACGCGTGCTGGCCCGACGAGGGGACTTCCGTGAACAAGGTTGGTGCCCGGAGGTCTGCTGGACCGGCTCTAGGGAGCTGGTTTCATGTCCTGTTGCACGTGGGCTTCCCAAACTCAAGGTGCAGGACATTGTGTACGCGGACGACCTAGCAACGTGTGCCACGTGCTCGCATGCAGCCGAGCTTCCGAGGGTGGTAACACGGATCACCGGTGTCACGCTTGACACACTCGCTGGGCACGGTCTATCCGCAAATATTGGCCCGCGAAAGACCGCAGCTATGATCTGCCCATCAGGTGTTGGGGCAAAAGCAGTTCGGACTCAGATCTTCACCCGGGATAAAGGGAAAATAGCCGTTCTTTTGGAACACAGTTCCCCTGTTTCGCTCGATGCCATATCGACCTATAAACACCTGGGGGCAAGCTTGTCTTACAGCGGCTCCATGCTCCCGGAGATCCGTTCCAAGCTCGGCGCGGCTCGCGCTGCTTTCCGAGAAGGACAGAAGTCTGTGTTCTGCTCTTGCAGGATGCACCTTCGTAAGCGAGCATCCCTTTTCAGAGTTCATGTGCTCTCGGTCCTTTTGGCCGGGGCAGGCGCTTGGCCTGAATTATGTTGTGGAGGCTGGAGGCTTTTCGAGCAGGGTGTGTTTGCCATGTACCGCAAGCTGCTGCGAATCCCGCATCATGAGGATCAACATGTCTGCAAATGGCGCATTGTGAGCTTGTTGGGTCTTCCGACCCCTGCCGAGCTTCTGCACGTCGAACGGCTTCGTTTCCTCTCACAACTGGTGTGTGCTGCTCCGGACGAGGCATGGGCTCTGCTGCAAAATGCTCCCAGAGCCCTGCGAGCTATGTGGTCTGCCATTGCCTGGTTCCAAGAGGCGATAGTCTGTACCACAGAGCTAGGAGATGTCTTGGCTAACTGGAGCCTATGGAGGGACTTGATCAAAAGCTTTCCTGGTCGTTGGAAAGGCCTTATCAAGAGGGCTGTCGCATGGCATGGAGCTCGACATGCCGCGCGCGCGGATTTGGAGGCGTGTTTCCGTAGTTGCTGGCGCCCCGCCCCCAAGCCCCTGGCCACAACTGATTGCCTTCAGCACGGCTGTGTGTTGTGTAAGGTTGCTTTCTGCGACGTTCAGTCCTGGGCGGCGCATGCGGCGAAGTCGCATAAGTACCGTGCGCACCACAGGCGCTATGCGGTCGGCGTGCGCTGCCGCGCCTGCGGCTCCGTCTTTCCTCAACATAGACGGTTGGTGCAGCACCTCAAGATTTCCCCACGGTGTTGTCAGGCCGTGGCCTTGGACAAACCTGGTCTTCTCCCCGCCTTGAGTCTTCCCGAGGGTCCTGCGCAGGCGCTTCTCCAACCCGGGGGTCAAATTGGTTCAGTTCCCGAGCTTATCGCTGACTACTCTCGGGAGCTTCTCGTCGCTTTGCGTGCCACGTGCTTTGAGTCTGATGAGCACATCTTCGACACCGTTGCGAGTTTCATTGAGCCTTTTCCCGTCCTGCGTCAAACCCTTGTTGTTTGGGTTTCCGAATTGGATGATAGCGATGTCAAGGAATGGGCTGTTGACGTCCTCAGTTGTTGGCAGGTTGATTTGCTTTGTGATAAAACTCCTGCTGCCAAAAAGGATGCTGACAATGTTGGAGTGGCTGACTATGCTTTCAGGCCACTCATTGAGCCCTTCTTTCTTTCGGTCGAACACGTGCAAGGGTCTGCGCTGTTGGCGGGGACTTCCTCGGACTTGAACTTGGATAGGGCGTTTCCCGTGAGGCCCTCCGTTTGGACTCATGTTGGCTTTGAGTCCGCGGAGGTTGATCTCTCTACTTTCTCGTCCTTGGTTGTTTGCTTCCCAGCTCCTCCTCTTCCCTCCCTGCTGTTTTGGGAGTTTCCTTCCTGCTCTTTGAAGGCGCTCCGACCGCACCAGAGATGGATTTCTTCGACCCTCACTTGGATTTCGGCCGCTTTGGAGTTTGCCCGTCTCGGGCGTTTCACGGCCCTCTCGTTTGATCTTTCATTCGATCAGGGAGGTGCCTTGTTTGAGTGGCTCGTTAGCTCGGCGGCTGCGGCTGGCTCGAGCTCGTCACTCGTTGTCCGTTTCACTTCGAATTCGTCTTGTGCTAGCGGTACGTTCTGACTGGGACTTATCACCGTGCGAAGAAGAAGAAGGCCATACTAGTGTTGAGCCCTACAGTAGTATAGGTACTTATTTAGGCCACTGTTTTACCTCTGACGGTCCGATGGTTCACGATAGACTCAACATGTCGGCTTCAGGTTCCATGGTCGGTGTCTGGAAGGTTTTGGACTTCGGGATTTTGCGTTTTGCCAGCTTGGGCAGTCATCGTTGTCTGGCTGCTCGAGTCGCTAGCGAATCGCAAACCAAGCTTCACACCCCGCCAGAGAACTTCCAAACTCTAAACGCAACAGCCACACATGATCAGATGAAGCGTCGAACACAACTCCCCGCAGACCCCCCCACAGCCCCTTCCCGCAAATGAGCAGAGCAACTTGAGCGCCATGGCGCCCACGGGGGCTCTGCTGGCCCCCCTGGCAGTGTGCGGGGTCTCGGGAGAAGTGACGGCGTGGCCCGGAATCCCTTAACCCCTTAGGTCTTAATAACCCAAACCTCCCAGCTCTACCCCATAACTACCAAAACTTATCAGAAAAGATGCAATCCTGTATCCTGAAGAGCATGATCTTCCTTCTCAATTGTGAAACCAAAAAGTCCGAAATTGTTTGGGTTTGGGGATGTTGAAGGTTGAGGGCCCGCAGATCCTACTCCTCAATGATGGCAATGTGCTGATCTCTGCACCCCCAAAACGGCAAGAATCAGACAAACTAGTAACATCAACAATGAGGGTCCCGATCATGATGTTAATCGTCCTACACGTGTCCTCTAAGGGTTCTTTCTATGACCATTCCTTATGAACGTATGAGTGGTCATGACATGATAGTGTTGATAGCGGTGTTGTTGATCGTGGTGGTGGTTCCTTCGAGGGTTCCTTTAAAAGCTTCCTCTCCTTTAAGGCTTCCTTGACGGTGGGGGGCGGCACCGGGATCCAACCCGGAAGCCCCAACCTCGAAGCGCAAAAAGCCAATGATCCCGTTCACCTACAGCCTACACCCTAAAGCTAAAATCCTTAAACCCCTAAACCCCTAAACCCCTAAACCCCTGAACCCCTGAACCCCTACACCCAAAACCCCTAAACCCCTAAACGCCTAAACGCCTAAACCCCGAAACCCCTGAACCCCTAAACCCCTAAACCCCCAAAACCCCCTAAACCTGCACAGCAGATCCCACACCTTAAGCGCCTCCCAACCTCCAGATATATGGTCGACGCCACGCCCTGAATCGCACAAGGTTTGAATCCTTGAACAAATGATGGTCGCGATGGTTCGGTCCCTTGGAGCTCCCTGTTCTACTTAACGTATCATATACCCCGATTCTAGTCTTAAGAACCTTATACTGAACCTCAATAGTAGCCTTAGAGACTCCGCTTAAAGGAGCCCGCAAATTGGAACCCCTCAAGGGAACAGTCCATTCTGCTAATCCTAAACCCTGAACCCTAAAGCTTATCTTATATTGAAAGCCCTACACACTATTCCTTATACTGAAAACTTAAAACCCTATTCAGTAAACCCTAAGCCCTAAACCCTATTCCTTCTGCTGAAAACGCTAAACCCCATTCCCTATTCCCTAGACCCTAAACCCTATTAGTCCTTGTCCTGAAAGCCCTAAACCCTATTCCCTAGAGTTCACCCTACACCCTAAACCCTGTTCCTTAACTCGAAAGCCCTAAACCCTATTCCCTGGAGTTTGGGCTCTTATTCCTACACTGAGAACCCTAAACCCTATTCATCCCTATTCTAAGCGCTAAGGCCCCTATATAGATCCCTTATAGAACCCGTAGAGGAGCCCTTATATGGAGCCCTGAAAAGGGAAGCGTAGTCTAATTGTTAAGGCCCCTACATTCGTCCCTATTCCCCGGAGTTCGGGGACCTCCAAAGGCCTCCTTCGACCAGCTTCTGGGCGGTGAAGTGTGCACGGGACCCGGCTTCTCCAGAGAACCTCATCGTGGTTTCGGCCGTTGGGTTTGGGATTTGCGGTGCGAGTGCTGCACGATTTCAGCGTCAATACTCCCAACCTGTAGTTTGACAGTCCGACGCAGAAATCTAGATCGTATGCACGCAATGTTGAAGGAACGTAGCAAGCAGGTTTGAGATGCAAGAAACAGCATAAGTGTTGCCACCTGAAGCCCGGTGCCCACTTCTCCCGCAATCCTTACTTGCCCTCCGAACCCTAAACCCTAGAACGCCCTAAACCCTGGAACCGTTGACCACATCATCCAGGCGCCTGGCTTCACCTGTGTTTCGAAGCTCACGTCTTTCCCCTTGGGAGCGGATCTCGGAGAGGGCGCTGCTTCTCATGAACAGTCGGAGCTTTTGGGCTGAACGGGGTTGTAAAGGGTGCAAGAGATGTTCAGAGTTGTTTGATTGTTTGCAGTTTTTGGGGATGTCAAGGGTTTAGACTGGGTTGGAGTTTGAAGTGCAATATAGTAGCCTGAATAACTATCCTAGCTAGCTAATGAGAGATCTGTATTTTAGTACCCTTGAAAAGGAACCATTTCCTGATCCTAATTTCTAAGGCTTTAATTTTTTGGATTTAGGGCACCGGGTCTTTGATGTTGCCGAAGATGGTACTTAGAGGATGAAGATACACGCAGAACCCTGCAATTGCAATATCAGCATCTTAGGAATACCAGGGGCACGCGGACCAGCTTTATGACGAGACAGCTTAAGTCGCTGCGATGCTTAGAACAAGAATGCAATGCACCCACGACCAGGAGTCATACCCATGTATGGGTAGCCCTCAAGCCAGCCCTAAGCACGAAGCCCTTAACCCGCAAAAGCTGACCATAAATCCTAAACACCCGAAACTATAAAACACCACGCCCCGAATCCTACAGCCTAAATCCTACTTGGTGTCTTCAGCTCATGGTTCCATCGTATCCCAAGGCCACGATGGTGTTTACCACCACCCGCACGGCATCAAATCGCCTGGCTCTTGGTTGCGCTTTAGGGCTTTTTGAGGTTTAGTGTTTGCGCAGCAATGCTATGACTACAGCTGCCCCTGCTATCGGAGATGACTGGTCAGCATCATCATTGCTGCCATCCTTTCGATTGTTTTCCTAGATGCCTTCTGTCGTCACGGTTGTTCATGTCTTGCTGCCTTGGCACTGCTGCGGCGTAAGTACTGATCCTGTGCTTGAGATTTCCACAGGATACACCCGCCTCCCCGGAAGAGTTTCCTGGTTGCGGCTTCAAGTGCTACCACTCTCCATCGAGCCTGATCTCATGCCCCTGAGTTTAATTCGAGTTTAGGGTTTAGGGGTTTAGGGTTTACGGTTCAGGGTTCTGAGAAGACGAAGACTGTTGCTCCTCACATCCCTGGCTTCATTGTAAGAGGTTCCGAGCCATGTGTCCGGCATCTGTGTTCTTTCGGTCGCGAAGCCGCGCGCCTTATCCCCAAGCCCATAAGACCCTGAGCCGCAAACCCAACTGAACCCTGAAACCCCCCCAAAGGCCCTAAACCCGAAAGCTCCTAAACTACCTAGAATCCCTGAACCCCTAAAACCTTAAGAGCCAGTGCACATTAAAAAAAAAAAAAACCTTACAACCCCTGAAAACCCCTGTATGTGTCAGCCTTGAAGTGAGTAGCCCCCGACGTTGAAACCCCTCAAAACAAGGAAGCACTCAGGCACTAAAGCTGCAACAAACAGCCCTTAAAAAGCCCTAAGGAGTCTTAACCACCTAAGAGGATGGAGCCCTCGGACCCCGATCGCTTCCGCGACTGGCTGCAGACCTACGAGGTGCTGAGCCTTGGGGTCTCATCATTTCGGGTATGAGGTGCCCCAACTCTGGGAGTTGCGGGCTTAATCGGTCTGTGTGCTTAACTACGGGATAGGTTTGAGGCTCAACCGTTTTGTTGACGCTTTATTTCTAGGGCGCTGTCAGGTTCCAGAAGGGCTCTATTTGGAGGGTCTTAGGGTCTAGAGGTTTGGGGTTAAATGTTTTCGGCTTTAAGGTTTTGGTTTTTAGGATTCAGGCCATCCCTGGCCTTTAGAGAGTCGGAGCTTCAGTTTAGTTTAGTCACTTACAGGTTCTGTAGAGTTCTATAAGGGTTCTACAAGGGTTCCTTTGGCTCTGCAAAGGAAGGTGCAGGGATGCCCTCGAGAAGGCGAGCGGAGGTTTCAGGGAAGGCTCTGCAACGTTGTCGGGGAAAGCAGCTCGTGCGACCTCGCCAGCTCGGTGGTTACTGGATGGAAAGAGCCCAGCGCCGACACGTGGAGATAGATGATCTCCCTGTTGCCTTGAACACATTGACCGCAAAGTCATTGGGAATGCGGGGGACAGCAGGAAGCATGGATCGCGGCTATGGTGCAGAGTGGTGAGAGCGTTCAAGTTTGGCCTCCGGATCAGGCAGTATGGTTGAACAGTCGCGAAGTCCTGATGAGGCTTCTGCAGCTGGCAAGCCAAAGATCAATTTGCGGGAGTTCTCTTCGAAGCTTCGTCGCTACAAGAAGATCGATGCGAAAGCCAAGGCCGATCCGACCCATTGTTGGCTGAGTTTTGGGGCCTGATGCTGGCAACCTTCCTTTTCTGTGATCATTCGCAAACTTGGAATGTTGTATTTCCCTGGTGGAAGCACATTTTTTTCATATGCCATTTTGGCATGAAGTTGCCAGCCTCCTGATGTTCAAAGCCAGTATCACCCGTGCAACTGATCGCTGATTAACACGAAGTACATGTGAGAGTACGCTGCTCACCAGACAAATCAGGATTCCAGAAGCGCTAGCCCTACCGGAATTTGAGCTGCAGGAACAGCTGCAGGAGCAGAATCTGAGGTCGCCTTCTACAAGCCACCGTCGCCGACGGACGGGAGGGATACTGTTGTGGCCTACCACAACATGCTGATGAATCTGTGCAGGTCGGTGGCCGGCAGCTTCGCAACCTCCTCATCTAGATGGCGAGCTCCCAGCCTGCAGAGTCCAATGCCTGAGAACACAGTCTTGCCGACTGGATGAAGCTGGAGCGCAGAATCAGCGATCTTGTCGAGACTTGCTTTTGGGAAACACT